AAAGGGTATACTGGCTGGGTGCAGTAGTTCACACCTGTAATCCTAGCACTCAGGGAGGCCAAGGCGGGAGGATCGCTTGTGCTCACGAGTTCAAGACCAGCCTGAACAAGAGTGAGACCCTGTCTCTACTAAAAACAGAATAATTAGCCATGCGTCGTGACACATGCCTATAGTCCCAGCTACTTGGGAGGCTGAGACAAGAGGATCGCTTGAGCCCAGGAGTTTGAGGTTGCCGTGAGCTAGGCTGACACCATGGCACTCTACTCAGGGAAACAAAGTGAGATGCTGTCTCCAAAAAAAAAAAAAAAGGTATATACTGTTCCTAAGACAAATGAATTCTTTATTCAATTGGTAAGAAAACACAATTGAATTCCTGTTTAAATATGAGAACCACTCAAAGCTTGTATAATCTTTGAAATTCTTGCAATATTTAAGGGATTAGGACCAAATCCATAATGCATTATAATATGCTACTCATTCCTAAAACTACCCCCCAATATGAGATACAGTGGAAGGAAAAAGTATGATGTAGCTTGTCGTTTTAGTTAGTTGAAATTTATTTTATTATTTTATTTTTCACACACCAACTCACAAGCCCTCAGTGCAACGTCCCAGTGACACCCAGAGCAGGCCTCTGCACTCCTCCCAGCTTTCCTTCCTTGACGCAGCATCTGATACATTATATATTTTAATTGGATCTCTTGTTTCTTATCTTCTAGAGTATCAGCTTCAAGTGAGGGGGATATTTGTTCGGCTTCATTCACTGCAGCACCTACTAGAATGCGTGGTAGACAGATTAATACTTTTTGAGTAACAAAGCTCTCCAATAGACACACACACACACACACACACACACACACACACACTTGTGGCAAAAGCTATTTAAATACTTACCATCTTAACCATTTTTAACACATTAACTGCCACGTGAGTTGTATTTAATTCACACTAGTTTTGAGCCCAGGGCCTCATGAAGCATATGTAACGCAAACATCTTTTCACCTCGGGAGCCGTATGAACTACTTTTCAAGTTGCATATAACTCAGAAACAGAAAACAAAAAAATAATTTTTTCATTAAATTAGAAAAGATTGTTTTGTTTTCAGGGTTTTTATTTTATTTTTGTAATAAAACAGAACACTGTGGCCCCAACGAAAAAAATTTTTTTCTAGTTTGGCAGTCAATGTGTTAAGTGCACAGTTCAATAGTATTAAATATACTCACCTCATTGTGCAACTGATCTCCAAAGTTTTTCATCTTGTAAAACTGAAACTCTGTAGCCACTGAAAAATAGCTTCCCATTTTTCTTCTCCCCGCCTGCTGGCAAGCACCATTCCACTTTGTTTCTATACGTTTGACAACTTTACATGAACCATGTGTGTGGAATCATACAGTATTTGTCTTTTTGTGACTAACTTCCTCATAATTTCCTCAAGGTTCATCCATGTTGTAGCATGAGAGAGGATGTCTTTTTGAAGGCTAATTAATACTACATTGTGTGCATATACCAATTTTTTCTTGTTTATTTTGGGGTGTTTTGTTTTTTGTGTGTTTTTTTTGAGACAGTCTTGCTTTGTTGCCTAGGCTGGAGTGAAGTGGTGTCATCATAGCTCACAGCAACCTCAAACTCCTGGGCTCAAGCGATCCTCCAGCCTCAGCCTCCCGAGTAGCTGGGACTACAGGTGTGCACCACCACACCTGGCTAACTTTTCTGTTTTTTGTAGAAAGAGGTCTCGCTCTTACTCAGGCTGGTCTTGAACTCCTGGCCTCAAGCAATCCTCCCACCTCGGCCTCCCAAAGTGCTAGGATTATAAGTGTGAGTCACTGTACCTGGGCAAATTCTTTTGAATCCAATATATATATATACCCAGAACTGGGATTGCTGAAGCATATGCTAATCTATTAATTTTTTGAGGAACCTTTGTACTGTTCTCCATAGGGCCTGCACTATTTTACATTCCCTCCAGCAGTTCACAGTGGTTTCCATTTCTCCACATCCTTGCCAACCCTTGTTTGGGGTGTTTGACTTTTTTGGTTAAGATGTAGGAATTCTTTATTGTTCTGGATATTAACACCTTATCAGATACATGATCTGCCAATATTTTCTCAAATTTCATGGGTTTGTTTTTTTTCCCCCTCTGATGAACAACAGTTTTAAATTTGATGAAGTCAAATTTGTCTTTTTCATTTGTTGCCTGTGCTTGTGGTGTCGTATCTAACAAATTGTTGCCAAATCCAACATCAGGAAGCTTTTGCCCTATGTTTTCTTCTAGAGTTCTTTAGTTTTAGCTCTTATGTTTAGGTCTTTGGTACATTTAGATTTAAATTTTGTGTCTGGTGTACAGTAAGGGTCTAATTTCAGTCTTTTACATGTGGATATCCAGTTTTCACAGCACCGACTGCCCTTTCCCCATTGAATTATCTTGGCACCCTTGTCAAAAATCATTTGACCTTGTATATGAGGGTGTCTCTCTAGACTGTTCTGTTCCATTGCTCTGTATATCTGGCATTATGTCAGTACCACACTGTTTTGATTCCTTTACCTTTGTGTAAGTTTTTTTTTTTTTTTTTTTTTGAGACAGAGTCTCACTCTCTTGCCTGGGCTAGAGTGCCATGGCATCAGCCTA